GGCTCGGCAGAGCTCGCGAGGCCGAGGCCCTGCCCGGGCTGCGGGAGCAGGCCCTCCTGGTCAGCAAGGCCATCGACGTCCTGGTGGCCGACGCCAATGGCTTCTCGGCGGGCCTGCGGCTGTGCCTGGACAACGAGCGCACCGACTTCCGGCTGCACGAGGCCCCCGACAACAGCGAGGGCCCCCGGGACGCCAAGCTGGTCCACGCCATCCTGGTGCGGCTGAGCGTGTTGCAGCAGGAGCTCAACGCCTTTGCCAGGAAGGCCGACTCCGCCCTCGGCGTCCCTGGCAAGGAGCAGCCTGAGCCCTTCTTGGGGCCCCAGGGGTCTTGCAAGGAGATTATCCTGGCCAAAGACCTTGGCTCCGACTTCCAGGTAACACGCTGCAGTCCCAGCCTTTATTACTTAATTATGTCATTATTATTATTATTTTGATGCCTGTCCCTAGGCTTGAACTCAGAGCTTTTGTGCTCAAGGCTAGTGCTTTACCACTTGAGCCACAGCTCCTTTTCTGGCTTTTTTGGTGGTTAATGGAGTCTCGTGGTCTTTCCTGCTCAGTCTGGCCTCAAATCTCAATCCTTAGATCTCAGCCTCCTGAGTTGCTAGGATTACAGGGGAGAGCCACCAGGGCTCCACCTGATTAATTTCTTCTGAACATTGTATCCAACCTTTTAGGCAGAGAAAGTACCACACCATACCAATCTGCACACCAGCACAGCTTCACGAGCTTTCCCATGGAGATCACAGCCTTGCACTCGGTCACCTAGAGTATGACAAAAGCCCCTGGCCAGCCCCTCACCCACAGCCAGTTTCAAGGACAACCCCTTTCCTCACTTGATTTTTTTTTTTTTTTTGGTCGGTTGTGGGGCCTGAACTCTGGGCCTGGGCGCTGTCCTCAGCTCTTCAGCTCAAGGCTAGTGTTCTACCACTTGAGCCACAGTGCCACTTCCAGCTTTTTCTGCTTATGTGGTGCTGAGGAATCAAACCCAGGGCCTCATGCATGCTTTAGGCAAGCACTCTACCACTGAGCCACCTTCCCAGCCCCAACACTTGATTTTTTTAAATCTATCTTTTAAACATTATGCAATTGAATCATATAATTTGTACAAATAAACTGCCTAGCAGCTTTCACTTTACTTGCTAGTTCATAAAATCTTCCTCATCTTTAGATACAAGACCATTGGTTGAATGGAGCACTAAGAGTAGTCACTGACTCAGGCTTCGTCTTCTTTCCAGGTTGTCACCCTCTTCCTTTTAACCCCTAGAGCTGAAGATGGAAGCTAGGGCCTTGCACTTGCTAAGGCAAATGTTTTAATGCTGAGCTACACCCCTTTCCTTTCTTCTTTTCAACTTTCTTTTGTAATTTTGTATTTTAAAACAAATATATATATATATATATATTTTAAGGTTTTTGATCAGTTTCTGTGCAAAAGCAAGACTTGCAACTTTTTACTGGCAAAGAACTGGCATCCTTGGTGTTCATTAAGTATTACTTAGAAAAACCAAAATAGAGGCTGGGAAGGTGGCTCTGGGGCTGGGAAGGTGGCTCAGTGGTAGAGCGCTTGCCTTGCAAGCCTGAGGCCCTGGGTTCGATTCCTCAGCACTATATAAGCAAAAAGAAAAAAGCCGGAAGTGGCGCTGTGGCTCAAGTGGTAGAGTGCTAGCCTTGAGCTGAAGAGCTGAGGGACAGCGGCCAGGCCCAGAGTTCAGGCCCCACAACTGGACCCCCCAAAAAAAAGAAAAGAAAAACCAAAATAGCTAAAGCATTATTGAAAAAGTAGTACATAAACATTCAAGAAGGTTCAGAAGTTGTCAAGTATCTGGAGTAGTGAGTCATGTGCAGTAATCACTGCCATACACGACTAGAGATGGAGCTCAGTGGTACAGTGCTCATCTAGTATGCACAAGAGCCTGCCTTCCATCCTTAGCAGACAGGACAAACAAGAGAATGGAAGAAAGGAAGGAAAGAAGGGAGTGAAAAAGAAGGAAGGAAGGAGGTTAGGCTGTGTTTAAATTATATAAATCATATATGAGTGAAAATTCAGAGCCATGTTTCAAGTGCACAGTTGTCACATATACCCAGTTGCATGGGTCTAGATCTAGTTCCATCCTTCCAGGATACCCTTCAAAATCTTTCTCCAAGCCAGGTGCTGGCGGCTCACACCTGTAATCCTAGCTACTCAGTAGGCTGAGATCTGAGGATCATGGTTCAAAGCCAGCTCAAGTAGGAAAGTCTGTGAGACTCTATGTTTAATTAAACATCAAGAAGCTGTAAGTGGAGCTTTGACTCAAGTGGTAGAGCACTAGCCTTGAGCAAAAGAACTTAGGGATAGTGCCTGGGCCCTGAGTTCAAGCTCTAGGATTGGCACCAAAAAAGAAAAAATTCCCCACAAGAATGTATTTATCTCCCAGCTTGTCTAATGTTAGGTCTTCTGTTGCTGCGTAATATATTTTTCTCATGCCTGTATCTGTGTGTCCATTTGCCACAATGCCACATTTATTGTTGTTAGGTTTTTAATGCCCAGCATTGGAGGGGCTGTGGTGAGCAAACCCACTTTTCCCAAACCTCCCTTCTCCTAAGTCCTTTCTTTTCTTTTCTTTTTTCTCCCAGCTATGAGGTTTGAACTCAGGGCCTGGGCAGTGACCCTATGAGCCCCTTTTCAGAAGTCCAGCGCTCTATCACTTTGAGCCACAGCTCTGCTTCTGGTTTCTTTCTTTCTTTTTTTCTTTTGCTAGTCCTGGGGCTTGAACTCCGCCCCAGGGGCACTGTCCCTGAGTTTCTTTGGCTCAAGTTTCTTTTGCTCAAGCACCATTTCGGCTTTTTATTTTTTCTGTATATGTAGTACTGAGGAATCGAACCCAGGACTTCATGCATGTTAGACAAGCACTCTACCACTAAGCCACGTTCCTAGCTCTTTCCCTTATTTTCTAGTGGGGAAGAATTCACCAAAATATCAAGTCAGGCAAACTGAAGCATGTGGCTTTATGGACAAGGAACTTGGCCTACATTGGCAGACTAGATGAGAGGAAGAAGAACATGATGTGTCCACGGAACTGAGCAAAGAGGCAGAGGCTGGACTGCAGACCAGTCTTGAGAGAGGTTGAACAACAGACTCATCTTGAGAGCACAGCAGGTGTCTTTCTGTGACTGTATAGGCAGATTTGATTTTGTCTTTTTTTTGGGGGGGGGCGTCTGGTCATGGTGCCCGAACTCTGGGCCTGGGCGCTGTCCCTCAGCTCTTCAGCTCAAGGCTAATGCCTTAGCACTTGAGCCACAGCGCCACTTCTGGCTTCTTTTCTTTTCTTTTTTTTGCTTATGTGGTGCTGAGGAATCGAACCCAGGGCCTCAGGCATGCAAGACAAGTGCTCTACCACTGAGCCACCTCCCCAGCGCCTTGATTTTGTCTTTTTAACCATGTTTTTTAAATACAGTGGCCCTGTGCCATAATTTCCTTGCAGTAAGGCCTTGTGGCTCTGATTTGGTCTGGCTTTTTTTTTTTTTAAGCAGGCAGGCAGTCCCATATTGAATCTCTCTTTTGGTTCTTAGTGAAGTAGAGTGAAATAGGACCACACAGGTGGAAGACAGTCTGGCTGTTTCTGCAAGCCATGCACAAAACAGATATGCACAAAATGAGTATTTGTGCCCATACTTACCTACTCATTCATCTTTCCAACAATGTTCATTGAAAGGCGGCAGTGCTGCCCGGCAAGGCTGGGTCTAGACTATAGACGGAGATGGATCCTCTTAGGTCCCACCCACATATGGGTGGTCCCAGACCTGTAGAAACTGGGCATCTTCTCATGCATATTTATCTTTGTTACCTTCTACCTTGTGTCTGCGTAGTCGCCGGACTTCAGGGACCTGCCAGAATGGGAACCCAGGATGCGGGAGGCCTTCCGCATCAGTGACTTGGATTCAAAGCCTGATCCCAGTCGGAGCTTCCGGTCTTACCGAGCTGAAGATAATGATTCCTATGCCTCTGAGGTGGGTCTGGGTCTTGGCCTACTCAAGAAGTAGGTTAGGTGGCAAGAGAGAGGCTGGATCCTCCCCAAAGCGAGTGATCCGTGGAGGATGATGACATGTCATGAGCATTCCATTTGATTCCAAACGGAAGTTTGGACAGTTCTCATGACCTAATCAAAGGAAGTTTATAGGATTTTTCTTCTGTACTAAATTCCACAGGGAATTGAGTAATTTATGTCATTTCATGAAGCCATGAAACTTTTTTTTTGCATATGTGTGCTAGTACTTGGCTCTGTCCCTTAGCTTTGCCCATTTAAGGCTGTCTCTACTGCTTGAGCCATTGCTTCACTTTCTGCTTTTTGGTGGTCAATTGGAGATAAGAGTCTCTTTCTTTCTTATTTTTTTTTCTCTCTCTCTTTCCTTTCTTTCTTTCCCTCCTTCTTCCCTCCCTCCCTCTCTTCCTCCCTTCTTTCCTTCCTTCCCTCCCTCTTTCTTCCTTCCATTCTTCCTTCCTTTCTTGCTTGCTTCCTTCCTTCCTTTCTTTCTTTCTTTCTTTTTTGTTGGTTGTGGGGCTTGAACTCTGGGCCTGGGTGGTGTCCCTCAGTTCTTCTGCTCAAGGCGAGTGCTCTACCACTAGAGCCACAGCACCACTTCCAGAGATAAGAGTCTCACTGACTTTCCTGGCTGGCTTTGGAAATGCCATCCTCAGATCTCAGCCTCTTGAGTAGCTAGGATTTCAGACATGAGCCACCAGTGCGTGGCATGAAACCTGCTAGTTCATACAGCAGGGAGGCAACAGACTCCACAGTCACGCTGTTGGGATCCCACTTGTGGACCTGCTGTGTACTGGCTGAGCTCTTGGATGAGTTACTTCATATCCCTGATTCATCTATGAAATGAAGGTTCTGGCTGGGTGTGGTGGTACACTTCTGTAATACCAGCACTTAAGAGTCTGAGGCAGAGCTGGGAAGGTGGCTCAGTAGTAGAGTGCTTGCCTTGCATGTATGAGGCCCTGGGTTTGATTCCTTAGTACTCCATAAGCAGAAAAAGTCAGAAGAGGTGCTGTGGCTCAAGTAGTAGAGTGCTAGCCTTGATCTGAAGAGCTGAGGGACAGCGCCCAGGCCCAGAGTTCAGGCCCCATGTTTGACAAAAAAAAAAGTCTGAGGCAGTTGAATCAAGAATTTAAGTCCAGGCTGAGTATATGGCTTAGTGGTAAAGTGCTTGCCTAACATGCATAAAGCCCTGGGTTAGATTCCTTAGTACCACATAAACAGAAAAAGCTGGAAGTGGCACTGTGGCTCAAGTGGTAGATTGCTAGCCTTAAGCAAAAGAAGCTCAAGGAAAGTGCCCAGGCCCTGAGTTCAAGCCCAGGACTGGCAAAAAAACAAAACAAAAAACCGTCTTGGGCTGCATCGTATGACCCCTATTTCCAAAAACCAAAGCAAACAAAAAGTCCCTCATAGGGTTGTTGAAAGAGACTTTAGTTCTATGTGGAGGAAGAGGAGAACAGGAAATACCATTTGGACCCTGAGTCCAAATTGGGACCTAGGTCCAGTTCTGCCAGTGTGCCACTGTGGCTGTGTGATATTGACCACATCCCCACCACCACCCATCCACTTGCCAGGTCCACCTCTCCCATATGTAGGATGGAAGGGTTAGAATTGCTAGGCTTCTCTGATTCTTAAGGAATCCTCTTGGTTCACAGCAACGCCTACTCATGGGGCCTGGAGGACTGGGAGGGTGGGTATCTCTGAGACTCTGCACTTGGTGAGTTGTATAGACCCCAGCCTGATGAGCATTCTTGAGTAGATAGCTTTTGCAGATAAGTTAGTTCTGCCTGAAATGGTACAGAACTCCCTGGAAACTGACAGATCAAACTTTTAAAGCAAGATAGTCTGAGCTTCCTAGTAGCCATGACAAGGGGGAAAAAAGTATATGTATGTAAACTGGTATGTAGCTTAGAGGTAGAGAAATGTGCTTAGCATGTGAAGCCCTGGATTTAGTCTCCAGTACCATAGAAAATAAAGAGGAATTGTTGGGTCTAAGAATGAAGCTCAGTGTGGTAGACCCCTTGTCTACCATGGATGAGACTACATTAAATCCTCAGTATTGAAATGGGATAAGATACTTGGTTCAAATTTTCTGAAAAAAGGAAATTAGCCTATTTCTATTTCTAAGGCTCACTTATAGAGAAAATTATTCCCTGCACAAATTTAAGTATTGTTTCCTCCAGTTGCTCTCTGTGAAGCAGTTGTAACTGAAGCAAGCACTGGGCTAGAGACTGAGCCCAAGGAAGAGAGAGAGAGCAGACAGGATCCAGCCCTGTAAAGATTTTATTACAACAGACACACATGACCTACCGCAAATCAGTGTGGCTCAGTGGTAGAATACCTGCCTAAGTAGCAAGCTCAAGGCCCTAAGTTGAAACTCCAGTGTCACACATAAAAAAAAAAGTTATTGTTTTAAATTCACCAACATAATGAGTGTTTATTTGCTTGTATAGAGTGACATCTGCCATGCCTAGACTGGCATTTCCTGTTTTTTTTCTTATATATATATATTTTTTTTATTGTGAAAATACTGTACAGAGAGATTACAATTACATGGGCAAGATAATGAGTACATTTCTTTTTTTTTTTTTTTTATTTTTGGGTCCCATCGTGGGGCCTGAACTCTGGTCCTGGGCGCTGTCCCTCAGCTCTTCAGCTCAAGGCTAGCGCTCTACCACTTGAGCCACAGCGCCACTTCTGGCTTTTTTCTTTTTGCTTATGTGGTGCTGAGGAATCAAACCCAGGGCCTCAGGCATGCAAGGCAAGCGCTCTACCACTGAGCCACCTTCCCAGCCTATGAGTACATTTCTTATCAAGCATTGTAGCCTCCTCCTTTGTTTCCCCTTCCCATCCCTTCCCATCCTCCCCATATCCCCCAACCCAATCTTTCCTGCTCCCCCCGCTCTCCCCTGTTTTTGTTTCTCTATTTAATATGGTAGCATAAACATTTTCCTTCCTTACCAGAAAAACTTAAAACATTTTCTTTTTGTTTTGAGATGGTTTCTTGCTGTGTTGTCCAGGTTGGTCTTGAACTTACAGGCTTATGTGATCCTCCTGCCTCTGGTGCCACTGGCTACACTGGGTTTTTTGGGGGCTGTCCTGTGGATTGAACCCAGGGATTCAAATTTGCTAGTGAAGCACTCTGTCTGTCACTTAAACTATGTCCCAGCTCTTTTTGTTTGTTTGTTTTGGTTTGTCTGGTTTCTGAGAGAAGGTCTCACTAAGCTTATTTAGGCTGGACTTGAACTCAGAATCCTCCTGTTCAGCCCTGTTCTCACTCCCTCACCTTGCCCAGCTAAACTGTTTCATTAGTATACAACACATAAACAGAAGAGTGCTCATGGGCTGGCACAACATTTGCCAGTGTGCCAAAGCCCTGGGCTCCATCCCAACACTGGGAATAAAAGAAAAATGCCCGTGGCTTTTCACCAACCGACCACTCCTAGGTCATCAGCACCTCATCAGTAAACAGCATGATCCTCTCCCCAAGATCCCAGTGCTTCCTGCTAGAAACCATCTGGACTTCAAAAAGAATACATGCTGTAAGGCTTTCAAACATCATTTCTCCAAAAAATGTAGAATTTTATTGTTACTATCTTTTTTTCTGCCTTTTTTCCTCCCTAGTACTGAGGATTGAGGATTGAACTCAGGGCCTCTATCATGTGAGCTATGCGCCAAACTTTTGGGATTTTTTTCTTTTTTCTTTATTTTGTCAGTCATGGAACCTAAACTCTGGGCCTGGGCGCTGTCCTTTAGCTCTTCAGATCAAGGCTAGCGCTCTACCACTCGAGCCACAGCACCACTTCCAGCTTTTTCTGCTTATGTGGTGCTGAGGAATTGAACCCAGGGCCTCATGCATGCAAGGCAAGCACTCTACCACTGAG